TCTTTTTGGTTTGTTTGCCACAACCCTGGCAGACTCAGCTTTGCTTTGGCCTTTTCCTCTTCATTCCCCCTGCTCCTGCCAGACCTCAAAGCCTGCACCCTCTGCCTCCTCTGCTGGCCTTTTCAGACTGGAAGGGTTTTTAAAAGTCCCTCTAAGCGGCAGCTGCTTTGTGGCTTTGGGTTTTTTTTTTTTGGTGTTTTTTATGATGAGCTGGAAATTAATTTCTTTTTCATTGGTGTTGGACTATCCATTCCCCATGTCACAGCGCAGAATGAGCTCGTAACTCTGACTGTCTTGCAGCTGAGTTACAGGGTCTTCTGTAACATAGCCCAAAGGGTTTAATTTAACTGTGAATGTTTTGAAGAAAGCAGTGGAGATCTGACAACTGTCTAGTGCTTTTGCTGTCTGCACATTTAGAAGGTCTTCCTTAATGTTTGACTGAAAGGTTCCTTGTTTTATATTAAGCTTAGGATTTCTTGTCTTTTCCACAGGTGGGGAAAGGTGGGGATGTCCCCCCCTTTCCTTTTTACTTGTCTGAAGAATGTAACCATGTCTCCATCCTCTCTAGACTAAGCATCACAAATGCTTGCCATCTCTCTTTGCCAACCATCTCCTATAGATTTGCTGTCACTGCTGTCTGTCTCCTTTGGACTGTCTCCAGTTGTTCATACCATCTTGGAGATCAGCATCCCAAACTGGACAACATGTTCCTAACAGTGCAGAAGTCGTGCGAGGATAATTTGGACTGCTTATGCATGATATCTTTTTTGTGCTTTGATCCTGGTTGCCCTTGGCATGATCTTGAACACGTTTTGGAGCAAGTAGGGTGAAGTGTTTCAGTTAATGTCTAGGACACCTGTTGTTGTCTCCTTGTCACTACACATATACACTAATAAGACCATCTGTTGTAGGAACCTGTGTTTCTAATCAGGGATGCTTGGGTGAGCTAATATGAAAGGACAAAAGATGCAGTCTGCTCATGAGAACTGAAGCTTGTTACCCCTCCTGCAGATGCACCTCCGTATAGGCTCCTTCATAAGACTGTTTACAGGGTTTAATATGTCCATTAATATGCAACCTGTGTTGAGTCTCACCTCAGCTGATTTGCTGTAGCCTTCCCAAGTGTTTGCTTGCAGCTGGATTGATGGCATGTGGGTTGCTTGTCTGGCAAGTCTAGAGAATGGAGGAGCCACCAGTGATTTTCATTTAAATCCCCTGCAGGATTTGGGGTCAGTCCCAGGGCATGACACCAGGGCCTTTGCTGCCTGCTTAGCCTTCCTTCCATATAGGAAGATATTGGTGGGGTTGTGTCCTCTGGAGCCCTCTTCTACTCACAGAGCTGTGGAGCAGCCACAGGGAAACAAAGTCCTTGCTCTTTTCTCATCAATAGCTCTGCCTTTTTGTAATTTCTCCTTACAACCATCAGCTGACTCATGGGTTTTTTTTTAATGCCCATCTTGGTTTTAGTCCCCTTAATGATTAATAACATCTTAATGACACTGTCCCCCTGGCTTTGCCCCTAGTAGGGCAGCATCTAATACTGTGGTGTTTGCTCACTTGAACAGGCCCCTGGTTTTAATGGACTTACATGAATGACATGATATGAATGCAGGTGCAGTTCAGGGGCTGGGCTATGTCTTGGTGTCGTGGTTTAAACCCAGTCAGGTAACTCGTTCGCTCACTTCCCCCCCCCTTTTCTTGCCCTCCCCCTGCTCTTGGAGGGACAGAGAGGAGAATCAAAAAGAATGCAACTCCCACGGGTTGAGATAAGAACAGTTTAGTAACTAAGGTATAACACAAATCACTACTGCTACCACCAATGATAATAATGATAAAGGAAATAACAAGGGAAGAGAATACATCATCTCACCACCAGCCGACCGATAACTCGCCCCCCAGGCCCAACCAAGCTCCGACCGATACCTCCTCCAACCCTGCAGTCCCCCAACCCTTCCGGCTAACTCCCAGTTACATCCTGGGCATGACGTGCTGTGGTATGGAATACCTCTTTGGTCAGTTTGGGTCAGGTGTCCTGTCTCTGCTTCCTCCTGGCTCCCCCTCCTCCCTGGCAGAGCATGAGGCTCACAAAGTCCTTGGCCAAACCAAAACATCGCTTGTTATCAGCTCCGTTCCCGAGCTGAAAGTCAAAACATTGCACTGCACCAGCTACCAAGAAGGGGAAAAATGACTGCTACTGCTGAACCCAGGACACTTGGATTCTTTTAAGAAGGTGATTATATTTCTTCCAGCTTGATTTCTGGGCATGGAGAGCAAAACTGAGACATCTAGTTGTGAAGCAGGATGACAGTAACAGTCATGAGCAGGAAAGCTTTGACCCCTGCCTGCTTGTAAGCTAACCCAGCTGGAGGCAGAATAAAGGGCAGGTCCAGCCAACAGCTGGAAAGGATGAATAGGAAACCTCAACCTCCTAAGGGGAGCAGAGACTGAGATCCTCCTGTTCAGGAGGTCTAAACTGTTCAGGTGTGTCTAAACTAGAGCATGGTTTTGACAAACCCTCAAGACCTTATGACGTTCTAGCAGTAATAATAGAAATGCAGATTTGTGTGTGTAAGCACAAGATTGTCTTTGATACAAGCTCTGTCTTAGTGGAAATGACCAAAGAGAACTTGCAAAATCCCAAGTGTTTCTCAGTTTACCCCCAAAGGTGAAAGTAAATCAGTGTAACTGGCTTCTCTTGTTTTTACCAGAGTGTTTTAGGTAATCCTCTATTTCTGTTTTCACTTGGATGCTGTTTGCAGTCCAAATACTGACAAGTGCTGTACCCCCATCTCCTCCTCAAACTTGTCTCCTGGAGTCAGGCAATTAGATTAGACTCTCTTTCATCTAAGTGCTTTTTTTATCTTTCTGATCTGTGGAGGAAAGCTGGCAGATATCATCTTTAAAGGTAAGGAAAGTGGAGTCAACATTTTGTATTCTAGAAATCTCATTATTTTCCAACTAATATGCTGATTTTGTATGCTGGGGTTTGGCAGTGACACAAGGGTCATTGCTGAACAAAGCAGAAGCAGGTCCATCCTGGAGAAGCCTGCATGGGTAAAATATGCATTTTCTACGGGTGGAAAATATGAATTCTCTGACTCGTGTCAAGGAGTGAGGCATTGTGGGTAATTTGCCTTTGACTCTCACTTCATGGCACCTTTCACAAGAGGAAAAAGTGTGTTATAAGAAGTTACCTGATATTGCACTGTCCAGAGTGCTTTTCTCTGGCTGGATCTGGGGAGGGATTATCTCAGATTTTCATTTAGTTCTGAAATCCTGGGTATTGGTTTTATAAACTAAACCCCCTTCGCGGCAGGTTGCTTATTCTGTCTTGTTGTTTTAGCTTGATGCATAGGAAGGAATTTCAATTTTCTGAACGGATGGGGTGCGTGCCTTCCTGGGGTAAACCGGCGTCGTTCAAATATTTAAAGGCAGATGCATCAATAGTGGCAGCTGAGGATCTGGCTTACTTTGATTAAAATCTGATGAAGATTACTCAGCCTTACCAAGGGACTTGGATTACCAGTCTATAAAAAGAAAAGTAGGAGAGGACATTAAATATAAAAATAATCCAATGAAGGATGTGAAGCTAAACTCACTGAAAATTGAACAATAATGAAAACATCCTCCTTAAACAGGTGGAGGGCAGCAGGGCTTGCAAGCGAACATTGCTCTTGGAGCTAGGTCTGAGGCAGAAATATACTGCTCTTGGGTTTCTCATGGCCATGGCCTCATCTTTTAAAGGCAGAATTTTTTCAGAGAAGGCCTTGATCATTAGCAAATCCCCAAGGGAGTGTTGCGGGAGGAGATGTGGGTGACAAATCCTTTGGAAAATCCTTGCCTCTGCTTCCTCAGGAGACCTGGGCTAGTGCCAAATCTCACTAGCAAAGAGGTGATTGAAGCTGAGGAACAGAAAATCAACTCTTACAGACTTCAAAATGTGAAATGTGCATTTGTCTTACAGTGGATGAACTTCAACTCTCCCTTTTCATCACAGCATTTTTCCCCCTTCATTCTTTTTTAAATGTATTTATGGAATGTTACTATTATGCCATGTGATTAGGCTTGATGGCCAGTGACTGATAGGTACATTGAACCAAGCTTGCTGGGCAGTCAGGAGAGGTGGCCTTTTTCAGGAGTCTGTCAAGCCACTCAGCATGTGTCTATGTTCCCCTGGATTTCTTAGGCACATGGTCCCTAAGCTGTATAAAATCTGTTTTTCCTGTGTTCCTGTGAAATAGCAGTGCAGCTACTGGTAGGGCAAGCACACTTGGGTGCTAAGCTAGATGGCTTTTGAAGTCTCCAAATTCTACTAAGGGCAGCAGAATGATCTATTGAGCATGCTGGCTTGCTCAATGGGCTTGCTTGGGTGGGAAGCATTTCCTTTACTGATCTCTGTTGAAGACATCTGGAAGGAGATTTACAGGGGTTCCAGGATTTGTGACTAGACTCTTCTTTTATATCCAAGGCAGGCAATAATGAGTGCATGGTGAGCTAGCTGGTCTGGGTTGACTGGAAGATGCTTTGACTATGTCAGAGGACTCTGGGAGCCTGGAGACTGGGGCTGAGTGGCCTTAAAAATACTGATAAGTTAACCTGATGCATCTGGTATTGCTGGAGGAAAGGCAAGGAGTGGTTGTAGGGTCTCCTGGGCAGTTATATGCATGGGTGGTCAGCAATATTGCCTTAATGCAGCAGCAGCAATGCCAGTCTCTCCAGTATTCTTTAGTCGGAATTAGGGTCAGATAAGGATAACATTGTGTTTTAATAAGTATTTGTTAGCAAGTGCTTTCCCTTTCCCCCTCCCCTCTAATATTGTTAATTTTCCTTGCAGTAACACATGCATCGTTCAGCTTCTGTTGCTCCGTGTGTCATGCTCTGTTACTCCGTCTCACTTAACAGCCGCAGAGCAGGGGGAATGCTGCCAAGGCTTTTTCTGGGAATTTGCTCCAGTCCTGCTACTTCCCTGGGAGTGCTCAAGTGATGTGTTTTGTTTGCAGGGGGAATAAAATGCTCAGCTGTCAGCTCCTCAATGGACAGAGACCAGGGCAAAGACCAGCTGCTCCTTTGTCTCTGTGCACAGGTGCCCGCATAGACATAGCTACGGTAAGTTTTGGCCGATGACTTTTTGGCAGAGAAAAGTTGATAAACAGTGAATGTGACCTTTTTGCCCTATTTTAAAAGACATGAGACTTTGCTTAAGGCAGCCTTAGGTTAAAAGTGCATCTCCCCCTAGTCCTTTCCTATGTGCAGAAATGGGGGCTACAAGTGCCTGTGATACCCCATGGAAGGGTATCCATCTGTCTGAGATGCAGTTGTGTTTTTCACTTGGGCTGGGTGTGAAACAGTGTTTAAAGGCATTGTTAATTGCAATGCATTGGTGAACACATTTTTAAAACACCTGCTTCCTTGTTGGAGACACGATTATACTTACCCAGACTAAACTGCTGCGGGGAAGGTGGAGACGCAGTGCTCTCTGTGGCTGTCTGGGCCATTCATTTGTTAGTATAGGGTTGAATTTCTGATGACTCAGAAGGAGCTTATCTGCCCCTCAGCTATTTGCAGATCTGAGCATCAGGGGTACTGTTGCTCAGAACCTTAGTTCATAACAGAGTTGGGACCAAAAGCCACCTCAGTCTCAAGGTGCATGTAAAAACAAGCAGCTGAGGTTTCCCAAGTGTCAAGTTTGCACAGGGCACTCACAGGCAAGTCCCAGAAAAATAAGGAGGATGCAAGGTATAGGATTCTTTCTGCTTGCCTCAGTTTCTTTCAGGGTATGGGAGCGAGCAGAGGGAATTAAATATTTCAAGCCTCTGTTTGAACCATCTGAAGTAGATTAGGAATGAGAGATGAATGTTGTGCAACAACAGGGGCTTTACTACTGCAGGAGCTGGTGATATTGAGCATCTTACACTTTCTGATTTATAATTCCTTCCTTATCTGGAGTCTTGTATCAAATATCTTTGTACACAAAGCCTGAGGAACATTTGTTAGGAAAGCCCCTTTTGGGACATGCCTGTGAGCCTTCTTTTATAAGCTATAAAAGCAACTGCAGAGCTCTTGAACACCAGAGTGGGCCAGAATTATGCAGGCACAGGACTGGTAAGCAGTGGTCCCTAGTTTGTATGGCTCCATGACCCACACCTGCAGCACCCTGGGTTGCGGAGCTTGTGTGCTCACTCAGGGTGTTTTAACCTGAGCTGTGGGTGCAGGCCGTGCTCTGAGCTCCTGGGCTATGCTTGACCCTCTGTCCTACCTGGGTTTCCTCTTTCTGAAGTCTCTAAAGAGTTGGACAGGTCAGCTCCATACACCCAGCTGTAACAGCCTTCATTCTTGCCTTTCATTTACTTCTCTGCAAAAACAGGGTTAATGTGTTTTGGGCTCCTTTTTGTCCACCCCTAATAACTTTCCAGCTTGATGGCTGAGTGCAGCTGTGTGTGCCAGAGATCTTAAAGATAACAAATTCCTACCAGCTTGATATAAATATATAGCCAGGGAGAAGACTTTATCTTTGCCCCTCTCTGCCAAGGGAGTTCAATCCTTATCAGTTCAGGAGCATCTGTGTGTGAGAGAGAACGAAGAAAAAATATGTTATGAATGCCTATGGGGAAAATTGCATTTGGAGCTGGTATCCTACTGCATCCTGAAGAATACCTCCATGATGTGTAACTCCATGGAAAATGGAAGTATTGCTGGCCCTGCTATGGGCTAAGTACTGTATGAAGTTTTCTGTTGCTTGCTTTCATCGCAGCCTTTCATCATCAGAGCTTAGGGACAGGAGCCTAGCACTGGAGCAGAGGGTTGCAGCCTGCTTCCCAGGGGGATGAGGCTGGTCTATGGGGCAGCTTTCCCTTGCAACAGGCTTTGCTTTCCCTGGGCAATAGCCACTATTTCTAGGCTGGTCCTCTGGCTCGTCACCCAGCTTCTTTTATGCCCTCTGCCTTCTGCAGAAAGCTGTTTAATCAAGAGTGTATCAAAATCCATCTGTCTACACTAGTGTCAACAACTTAGCTTCGGGGACATTTTAAATAATTTTCTTTCCACACTCTGTAATGGATTTCATTGCTGAGGGGAGAGAGAGCAGGACAGCAAAGGTATTTTAATTACATCTGATTGTGGCATCTTGCAAGCTTGCCCTCTCAGTTATTCTGGCGCAGCACTGTTTAGAGCCCACTTTTGTAAGCACAGGCATGTTAGCTGGGGGTTTATTGATTGCAGAGAAAAATATTGATATTTTGCTCCCAACATCATCTTGGGGCTGTGTCTTCTTTCTCTATCTATGTTTTGTGGCTTCAGCTTCTTTCACATTAGAGGATTCCAGTCATTCTATATCATTTCCTTAGAAGCAGTAAAAACCAGTCACCACTCCTATAAGTGTGGGCATCATATCTGGGCAGAGCAGAGGTACTTCGCTTGCTCTTAAGAGAACCTGCCTTACTTGAAAGGGAAATGTCCATTTGAACCCTTTCTCCAGTTCATATCTGGGTTTCACAGCCTGTTAACCTAAAAAAGGCTTCCCTTTTCCTCAGTGAAGTCAGGAAAGATTGAAATACTATCTCCAGCAAGACTATCTTGGGGCGAAGGAGCAGGGAATGAGACAGGGAAAACTGCTGGTCTTGCTGAAGCATCCTGATCAGACCCATGGGGCAGAGTAAGTCCTGGAACAGGCAAGAGTGTGGCAGGTGCAATAGAGCACACTTTCTGAAGCGCCTGCTCACCAAACAAGAGGAACTCCGGTTGGGTGCATGTTGAAATGCCAATAACTATTGTATCTTTTCATGGCTTTAGGTGTATTTTCACTAGCACTTGAGGCTAGTGTTAGCTGCAATGCTGCCTTTATGTTTTCTGGAGCATTCAGGAGGTAGCAGGTCCCTGTGCCCATACTTAGACCTGCCTTTTCAAACTATTTAGCAGAAATAAAGCTAGAAACTGAAAAGCCAGAAACTGAATCCAACCAGGGGTTTGGAGGAAGCAAAGTTTGTCGAGGAGGAAAGTAGAGATTTAAGGTCTTTAATTTATTTATTTTTTAATGGTTGCTAGTATGCCTTTCCATTCTTGCCAAAGCTTTTGGTTCTAATTTAATAAGAAACTTAGTCCTCAATATCAACAATTTTCCAATGTTGGAATGTGTTTGTGTTCCTAACAGCACTTATCTGTGTAATTTCCTCCTCTTAATAGATACAACCTCAGCTGCAGATTAGTAAAGTGTTTTGTTTGTGATTCCTAGGTACTCTACACTTGATGCATTATCTTGCTACAGACGCAAGGCAAACTCTGCTCCTCCCTTCTGGCCTAGAGTGCAATGATGGATTAAGTAGGTAAGTAATAGAGTGGTAATGAGATAACCACTGACACTGAGCATTAATGTGGGAATAAATGAAGTTACCATCCAGAGCTAATGGTCTGAACTATCACTGGTTTGTAATTAATGAACGTTGTGGCTGAGATTTACAAGGATATTTTAGGATGCTGCTTGCATGCAGCTTTGGGTTTTATGGCTTGATTGGAGAGAAATCAGTTAATGCCAAGAACTTAATGAATGGGTAAAAGCTGTTTTTTGTCAGTCTGTAGTGCCCCTTTTGTGGAAGAGGCTAGACTGGTACATCTGCCTTTACTTCAGGTGGAAGTAGGTAGGATGCTGTGGCCTTTGAGTCACTCACTCTAGTGTCTAGTAGAGATGCTGTAAGGTATCTCGGGGGTCTTGTTTCTCCTGTTTTATTAGGGCAGAGCAGAAGGAGCCTTGGTGGAAACAGTACATTTGAAATGAACCCATGCTGCAGACTGACTCGGATTCTCCAACCAGGACTGAGAATTGAGCAATGACAAGCTGCCCTATTTTTTCCCTTGAAGGGAAGACATCTAGTTCCTTCTTCAGGTCTTCTCCTTCCTGCAGCTGTGGCTCTGTTTCCTGCATGTTACTCCCTTCCTTGCCCTGTGATCTCGCTCTGGTGTCCTGTGTGATCCAGTGACTGCCCGCACCTAATGCGTGAGCCTCCTGGAGCAGGAGTTGAGGTGCCCAAGCTGCATATATACGGTGTGCCTGTGCTGAGGAGGCCTTGTCTGGAGAGCTGTCCCTCCCTGTCTGCATAGCTTACTAGGCATGTAACCCTGCTAAACGCTTTTCAGATGTGTGAATAACGCTTTTGAGGTGGTTGCTAGGCTCTTGCAGAAAATACAGCAAAGCAGTCAAAATTCTTCATGTTAATTGGTAGGAATACTCCAGCCATCTCGCTGCTGCCTGCCTCATCTTTCCATGGCAACACTCTCTACAGCAGCCCAGGTGCTTGTGGTTGGATATAGTGGGATTTTTTTGAGCCCTCTGTCTTCCAAATTGCCCCTTGGAGCATGGAGGGAACATCTGTACTTTTAAAGTATGGGTATCATGTGATACATCAAATAGCTTCCCTTGGTCTAACCATATCCCTTTTTCATGCTGTCAGACGAAAAACTTTGGAAACATGCCTGCATTTCTTTGGTGGAAAGAGCGGTTGTCCTGTTTGTTTTTTTAACAGGGAGAGAATGGTGCTGAAAGAGTCTTGAGTGATTTCCTTCCCATGGCCTGAGCTGTCACACCTTTCTGTGAGCTGGAGAAAGGAGGGACCACAGCTCATGGCATCTGGTGGGCAAAGGGAAGGGCAATCTTTTTCTCTCCAGCAGAGCTCAGCCTGGATTGAGTTCTGATGTCTCCTTCAGGAAGCCGGGATGGTGGCTGGAAGGAGCCAGAGGTGAGAAGAGGGAGAGTGAACAGGAGGGAGAAATCTCAGGTATTGCATCATCCTCACTTCCGCTCCCTGCTGTAAATGTATGTGGGACAATGAGACAGTACAAACAGGGGCACTGCCTGTTTGGCAATGCCCAGCTCTGCCAGTGTGGGCAGAGTTGGGTGTTGCATTGCAGAGGGCTGGTGCAAAGAGCAAGGTGTCCTCTCTTCCTGCTTCCCACCTCTCTGAAACATTCTCCATGTGTATTCCAGCACCGTCATCTCTCTTTCAGGGCATATTTCGCAGGCATATTCAATGATTCCAGGTAAAATGAGACTCAGTGATGAAGCCAGCCCAAAGCTTCCCAGACTTGGGGAGGTTGCCACTTTGCCTGTAAGCATTACATTTCCTTGGTGCAGGCTCAGTAGTTCCATGCTGAGCAGGAGGAAGAAATTTCCACCTGCTGGACCAGCACAAGCCAAGACTCAAACTTAATAAAGAACAGGTAGTGTATTCAGGGATGTGTAAATCCTCCTTCTGCAGCCTTGGGAAGTTTATTGCCCTCAACAAAGTACACAGTATGGCTGTAGTTCCTGAGGATCCCAGACAGACTGTTATATGATGAGGGAAAATTACCCAGACTGTTCTCCAGAAGGCAAATGAGCAGGAATCTTTCTCCAACTGGTTCAGGACAACGTTAATGTAGGGAAAGCCATTAAAATTAATGCTAGTAAACAAGGATAAAAACCAGCAGGGTTGTAACAAAATCTGGACCAGAGTGGGTTTCCCAGCTGTCATGATACTGGGAAATAAAGGGTTAACATTGTGCCTGCTTGCTTAAGCAGTTGCTGTGGTTGGTGTATCAGTCATGCTGCATGCTGTCTTAAAGGAAGCAAGCAGAGGGATGGGGTAAGCTGAGCTCAGAAAGTCTGTGAGGGTTGGTTTGGGGGCATCTGGGTTCCAGTGGCACCTCCTTTGTTCATGGCCCAGTACTTTACTTTAACCCACTCGGGGCCCACTGTGTTTCTGAGAAGCCGTGATGCTGTTTTATCTGATGGTCATTACATCTTGTATCTATTTATGTAATGGTTATATGCTCTCCTCCAGAGGTTGCCTTCAGAATCCAAGCCCTGCTGTAGGGTGCTGAGAACATGCTCACATGTGCTTGCTGGGTGCAAGTGTTTTGTGTGAGCATGTCTGGGAGCAGATCTCCAAGAAGCTGATCCCAAGTTCATCTGGGGAAGGTGCAAAGGGGCATGATGAATGGTGATTCCCTTCTCCATTTCATCTGCTCCAATGTGAATGGGAGCATGTTCAGCCTGGCCACAGTGAGGATTACTGTGAACATATGTCCACTGTACTGGGAAGAAGGCTCAGATTTGATGCCTTTTCTCATACTGGTGGTGGATACAGGCTAAACAGGGCCCAGAGCATCCCGGGGAAAATACCCTGGCATAGAAGCTGTGTTACTGCGCTCTTTTTTCTAACCCCACACAATACTAACATAAGCCAGACAAGTTCTCCAAAACTCCTGGCACCAGACTTGATGCTTTGCAATAGGTCAAATCTGTTACAACCAAGCCAAAATTTCTAGCCCCAGAACTAATTGTCTTCAATTGTCTGTGTGTTCAAGTGAGCACTTTAGTGGCCAGTGGTGAGTGGTGAGGTACAAAACCACTTAGCTGCTTTCTTACAATGCCTGAGAGACTTGGATAGTATGTTTGAAAAGAAAGAAGGCAACAGTCTCATCTCTGAACACAGCTGTTTCAGCATAGATGAAAAATATAGATGCCAGCAGCCATGGAAAAATTCCCCAGTCCATCAGTCAGTGCAAATAGCAGCAGAAGGATCCTTCGGTTCCCCAAGAGGCGTCATATACCTTGTATGTCCCTAGTGAAGTGGTGTTTGCTCAGATTTCAATGATTTTGATGGCCCTGTTGTGGATGGTCAGGTTTTGCAGGATGGGTTGGGTTCTGGCGGAGTCTTCATGCAGCAAATAGCAGAGTGAAGTGAAGCTGCTGAGATAAAGTGCTGCAGTGCCTCCAGCCGAGTGTGGGGAACTACGGTTGGATGTTTAAAGTCATCTTCATCAAAGAGGTGAAGGAAAGTCTGGGCAGATCAAGACTGATGCTGGAGTGGAAAGCAGCGTGCAGAGAGGGCCAACACACAAGTCCTTTGGAGCTCTCATCCCTGGAGGATCCACAGGCTGCCTCTATGGGGAGACATCAGCCCCTTTTACTCCAGTCAAACTTCCAGCAGGTTGTGGTCTCAGAGGTGAAGTGGGCAGAGGTGGAGAGCTTGCTTTTGTTTTTCATGAGACATCGCCAAGGAATCAGGGTGACAGAATTATTTTTGTGGAAATGAGTATGTGAAATACTTTTTCATTTTGATTATTTGAAAACTAAAACTCTTCATGGCTTTTAAAATTCATGTCCCCTCCAGGTTGTTTTGTTTTGTATTCCCTCTCCCTTATTCCTCAGAGAAACCATCCAAACCTACATAGTGTGTTATTTTTTTAGGAAATAAAATCATTTTCCAGTCAAACCTAGGCTGGAAATGCTTCTGGTGATTCATTTGTCTGAGAAATTCAGAAAAGCCTGGATGGAGCAGAAACCAGGCTGGTTCAGGGAGAGCTTTCTTACATTTGAAGACCCACCTGAGCAAGGGAGTTGTTTCAAAAGCTTTTTATTTGAAAAATAAAATTTTAATAGGCTTTGTTTGGGAGAGTTGGGCTTCAGCCATTCTTCTGTTGCAGATCTTGTATGCTACCAAGATCTGGAGCCTGGCCCTTCTGGTCCCAGCTTCCCCTGATTGCTTCATTGCAGATCTGTGCCACCTCTCTCTGAGTCCTGTATCTTGAGTGCTTTGCTCTCTAGGGACACCACTTCTGCAGGGTGTAATAGAGGTGATGCCATGTTTGCTTTGACTATACTTCGTACTGAAAGTTTTTCTTAAGAATGAGGATCATATGCATGAAAAGCTGTGTCTTGAGTGCAGTGGGGACCTCTTGCTGTCGCACAGTGAGGGGTCCAGGTCCTACATTCTCTGTTAAACTCTGCTCAAGCTCCTCTCCACCAAGAACCTCTTTCTGAGGTTCAGAGCCAGGCACCGGAAAAGCAGATTCAGTGGTAGCAACCACTGAAGTCCCCTGCAGAGTGCCTTTCCTTGGCCTTCTGTTTCCCTGCCTATAAATCAAGGCTGTTTTAATGGTGGGTTCTTTGAGACACATCTTTCTGTTCCCTCATGCAACAAAGGAATGAAAGGAAAACCACCAGGCAATGGCTGAAATGAGATGAGTTGCTCTGTCACATCCCTTAGTAATCGTGTGTTTCAGGGACTATTTTTATCATCTCCAAGGGATGGCCCAGAGCTAGCTTGTTTGGAGGCAAGGTACATCAAGGGTAGAGAACTGTGCTGGAGAGCCTTTACATATGACAGGAGTGGTGGCAAGTGCCTATGTGTCTGGAAATAAGGCAGTAAGTGGGCCGGATAGTGGAGACCACCAGCTCCTGTTGCTGGCTGCTCTGCGAGCTGCCAGCTCTGCTGTCTAGCACTGTCCAGATCCACAGTGTAACTGCTTATTTCCAGTCCCTGTCTTGTCTGTCCCACATACTGCTTCTTCTATAAATAGCCTGGTGGGAAGTGGAGTACGGAGCCACTGCAGATGGCCCCCAGTTCCCCATGCAGTCGTGTGTGAGATCCCAGATACAGGCTGTCAATTCTTTGCCTCGAGCCACCCGTGAAACCTCATTAAAAATGGTGTCCTCTTCCTTAACCCCCATCACCCCCTCCCTTCCCACTTCAACTTGCCTACATTGAAGCACCCTTATTAAACATGCACTTCTAAGCAAGGAGCGCTGACTTTCCCTTAATTGAGGCATAATAATTAGAGCATTAACACATTAGGAGGGTGAGACAGCATGTTTAGCTTTTGTGATTAATTATCTGAGGATTGTAATAAGTTGTTAAGACATTAATTACTCTGGCATGTTTATTGCTCTTTATTGCAGAACAGACACTTGGTAGCAGCAAGTGCTGGTTCATCTTGAAATACAGTGAGAAACAGGCTGGATGGAGGAGACCACCTATTCATCCACAAAACAGTGAGCTGCTGCTGTTGCTGTGGTCAGGGTGAAGGCATCCTCCTGGTCGGACCTTGATTAGCAAATAAGTTTATTTCTCTTCCATCTCCAGGAGGCCACAGATGGTATCTGAGTCCCTTAGGACAATCTAGGACCTAGAAGGTCCTTTCTGATCTTTTCATTTGTATTTTTCTCCTCTTTCAAATGAAGCGTTTCCTTTCCTGATGGTTTGAGTTCCCCTCATTTGGATCTTTGTGTTTCCAAGGATCTTACCTGGTTCAGAGTGTCAGCAGTGGTGAAGGAATGAACCGCAATTCTGGCGCCTTGTTTCACACCTCCAGTGGATGAATTTTCTTCTGGGGAACTGGGAAGGGTGTTTCTCCAGCAGCAGGAGAGGTTTGGACTAACATAGCCTGCTCTTTACACAGCAAGCTGCTCTGTAGTCCCTAGACAACTCCATGCTGGTTTGTCAGATTGGGTCTAATGGCAAAGTTCAAGCCTGTAGGATGAGTAGGTCTTGTACGCTCCTGAAAGTCGAAGAGAAAAGGCAGATGAATCAGCAGGAAGTTATGGTGGGCCTATTCCCAGCTCTGCTCTTCCCAAGAAATATGCATGATGCCACACTCTCCCCACCTCAACCTCCCTCTGCTGTTACGTGGGCTGGGGAATCACAATGGCAGTCCCAGCAACAGTCATGGATAAAGATATTTGGGAAGATGATAAAGACAAGAAGGTGGGGAAGCTGTGGGTGTGATGCATTGATACAGATTTCCCTTGGGACCCCTGAACTTGATGTTTCTGATTTCTGGTCTATTGCTGTGCCCTCATGTTACTGCAACACACGCTTGGGAAAGCAACTGGTGGGTGCAGTGTTACTGCAGTGGCTTGGGGCAGCAACTGGTGGATGCAAGGGGCAGGAAGGGGGGTCTTCCACTGTTGCCTCGTGTTAGAGATGAGATGAGCCTGACCAGTCTTTGTCCCCCTAGGACTGACCCAGCAGTCTCTTTCCATATGGCTTCCACGAGCTCAAGTTAGTGTCACTGTCAGTCAGTTGTCTCAGTGGCTGGGGAGGAAAAATCCCTTCCCTGTGTACAAGGTGGGATTTGTCTTGTGTCAGCTGAATGCAATCTGCAGACTTCAGCTCCTTGGAGCCCCTGCCTGCCTCTCACTAGCCCAGCCTGGTTTCGGCATTCACTGTCAGGTACCTTCTTTCTGCATTCAGAGTATAGAAAGTGTCAGCCTGGCATTCCCCACTCAGCTCCTAGGGACAAGGCAGGTCCTGACTTATGTGTTTTATCATTAAAAAGATAATTTCCTCTAGATGTGTGCAATAAGACAATGGGTGCTGACCTGTGATCCTGGCATTGTGCAGTGTTAATGATTTCCCTCTGCAGATAATAAGCAATGAATGTATATATTTGGGGGAGATCTGATTTTTTTTCCCCCTTTTAAGACTGCTGTCTTCCTAGGCCAGACTTAATTAGCAGACCTCATTATTTCCTCAAATGTAACTTGACTTCCATTGAATGAAAATTGTTCAGTGGATGGGGAGCAGCAGAGCAGTGCTGCAATATTCATATTGTTTTAATTGCAACATTAACATTTCATGCCACTCTTGGCATACTTTCAGGTGCAGCCCTTTAGCTCAATGCAACACTGTGAAAGGTTGGATCAGAACAATTAAGGCAGAGTGACTGGATTTCTGGATTTTCTTTTTTTTGTTTGTTTGTTTTTAATGAACGCAAGCCTGGATTCAATCCCCATCACTCCTTTTGTTGGGTGAAACAGGGAGTCAAGCAGCCCTGAAGTGTAAATCCTTGGTTTGGAATAAAGGATGTGCTGTAGTGTATGCTTAAATACTCTTTTTGTGGAACTGAAGCCCTGCAAGGACAAGTGATTCGTGATCCACCAGGCTGACAGCACATCCTGGGACTTGGCCTTTACCAGGTGATTCAGAGAAGCCCCAGAATGCATCTGGCCAGCTGGGCCAGTGTCACATAGGAGCTGGAGGGAAAAGGGCTATTTTCCACTTCTCGATTACTTCCAGGACTCTGGAATGAGTGAGGCTGGAAATGACACCATGAACAGGTGACAACTGGGGCAGTACAGATCCTAAATGAGCACAGGGATTGCCCCACTCTGTCCCCAAATTGCATGTAAGGTTTGGCTTCTTTGCCATGGGGTCAGCCTCCGCAAGCTCCAGTCACCTTTGCTGCCTTGCCATGTACCATGTGCTTCTTGCTAATTCTTCCTATGCTAGAGAGTGGTGACGAGTGATGTGAGGTCCCAGCAAAACCAGCTCCAGGTTCTCACTGAAACAGCCTAATGAGGGTCTCCTAATTGGGTCACTGAAAGGAGGTGAGCAAGGAAAGCCAGCCGGCAGGTCTACTAAATAGCTTCTTGGTGTTGCTCTCCCAAGGCTGTATCACACTGTGTAATGTGCAGACTGTTTAACTGACTTTAAAGGAGAACCAAGAGACTGTTGTGTCCCCTTCATCCTTTAGAAGGAAGAGGAAGGGTCGCTAGGACTTACTCTGTCCTGCCAGGGGAAGGCTGAGCTTTGCAGCCATGCTGCTGCCTGCCAGCTCTGTGCTGGCACTGGCTTGCAGATTTGTACTTGGGGTTGGTGAGTTGATCTGGTCTGCAGAAAGGACCTATATGTAGAGGAACAGGCACCCTCTTACACAATAACTGTCGTGGTTTAAACCCAGTCAGGTAATTCGTTCGCTCACTTCCCCCCCTTTCTTGCCCTCCCCCTGCTCTCGGAGGGACGGAGAGGAGAATCGAAAAGAATGCAACTCCCACGGGTTGAGATAAGAACAGTTTAGTAACTAAGGTATAACACAAATCACTACTGCTACCACCAATTATAATAATGATAAAGGAAATAACAAGGGAAGAGAATACATCATCTCACCACCAGCCGACCGATAACTCGCCCCCCCCAGCCCGACCAAGCTCTGACCCATACCTCCTCCAACCCCGCAGTCTTCCAGCCCTTCCGGCTAACTCCCAGTTACATCCTGGGCATGACGTGCTGTGGTATGGAATACTTCTTTGGTCAGTTTGGGTCAGGTGTCCTGACTCTGCTTCCTCCCGGCTTCCCCTCCTCCCTGGCAGAGCATGAGGCTCACAAAGTCCTTGGCCAAACCAAAACATCGCTTGTTATCAGCTCTGTTCCCGAGCTGAAAGTCAAAACATTGCACTGCACCAGCTACCAAGAAGGGGAAAAATGACTGCTACTGCTGAACCCAGGACATTATCCACCCCTTATTCCATACCATTCACGTCATGCTCAGATCCCCCATTTTCAATATACTCTTATCTTAGTGCATGGACCAGTCCCTATAAAGCTGCTGAGTCCATCTGGTCCATGATGTCAGGCTCCATCTCTTGTAACAGTCTTCCAGAGCAGGAGAGACTGTGTGCAGTGTTCACACTTGTGAATAACCTGGGCAATAGTGTCCATTGCTAGGTCCACCCCTTGATCATGAGTCCATCTCTGTGTTGCATCTCTGCTCTGATGGCCTGAAGTGCCATGGGCCCACCAGGCTTAAAATAATTCACTGTCCCCTTAAGCAGTTTCTGCAGCTTGTTGCTGGGGACTCCATACAGCTGCCTTCCATCTCCGATGCTTCCAAAGCACTGGAGGGGCCCAGTGGACTAGATACTTGCCCATACTGTCCCACACACCCTGCCACTCATCACTGTCCAGCCTTGGAGAAAACCTTTTGGTCCCCCTATATCCTCGTCTAACCCCAGACAAGACCCAAACCTGACTCTGCTTAACTTCTGAGATCAGACAAAATGGTTGTGGGTAGAACACAGCCTGTGTGTGTGCCAACATGCTGATCCCCATCACAATCAGCAGGCAGGTCCCAAGGATACCCAAAGGCCATTCAAAACCTCCAGAACTCTCAAATGATGCTGCTGCACTTGTCACTGGGGCTGGTGTAGCTGCTGTGCTTGCCGGCTCTCCCACCACCGGCTTCTCTTTTCCTGAGTCCAGCTCTTCCTCCTCTGCCTTGCTGGGAAATGCTGCGTGGTCTCCTGCATCCTCCTGGGGCTCGGCGAGCGGCTTCCGGGAAATGCTCTCGGCCGTCGCGGGGCTGGGCTCGGCCGCGGGGCTCGGCTCCGCCGCGGGACTCGGCTCTTCCGCGGGGCTCGGCTCCTCCGCCGCCTTCTCCCGCTGCTCGGCAGCCCCTTCCTTCTGCTCCTCGACCGCCCCGACCTCCTCCACCCGCAGCCGTCCCCTCGCGGCCTCCGGCCCCGCTCCCGCCGCCGCTTGGTCCCCGGGGCCGCTCTCCCGGGCCGCTTTGGCTGCCGCCGGCTCCCGGGGCCGCTGCCCCTCGGCTCCCCTCAGCCTCACGAAGATGGAGAGTAGGGCGAGGGCCAGGGCGGTGAAGAGCAGCCGGACGGCCAAGTACAAGTCCACGGCCACGTCCGTCCCGCCCGGCTGCTGGAGCCCGCCCGTATTACAAGCCATTGCCATAAAGCACAGTGAGACAAGAGCCTTAGCCCAGGCCCCACACTTGATAAACAGTAACACAGCAAATACCGGCTCTACGTAAGTTACAACATTCTGAAGCTGTGAGATCAAGCGAAACAACTCTGAGAGCCAATAAATCAGCATTGTGACGAGTGACTATTAATCTGGTCAGATCTGTCGTTATCTCAACCCTTCGTGCCCCACATTGGGCGCCAAAAAGAACTGTCGTGGTTTAAACCCAGTCAGGTAATTCGTTCGCTCACTTCCCCCCCTTTCTTGCCCTCCCCCTGCTCTCGGAGGGACGGAGAGGAGAATCAAAAGAATGCAACTCCCACGGGTTGAGATAAGAACAGTTTAGTAACTAAGGTATAACACAAATCACTACTGCTACCACCAATTATAATAATGATAAAGGAAATAACAAGGGAAGAGAATACATCATCTCACCACCAGCCGACCGATAACTCGCCCCCCCCAGCCCGACCAAGCTCTGACCCATACCTCCTCCAACCCCGCAGTCTCCCAGCCCTTCCGGCTAACTCCCAGTTACATCCTGGGCATGACGTGCTGTGGTATGGAATACTTCTTTGGTCAGTTTGGGTCAGGTGTCCTGACTCTGCTTCCTCCCGGCTTCCCCTCCTCCCTGGCAGAGCATGAGGCTCACAAAGTCCTTGGCCAAACCAAAACATCGCTTGTTATCAGCTCTGTTCCCGAGCTGAAAGTCAAAACATTGCACTGCACCAGCTACCAAGAAGGGGAAAAATGACTGCTACTGCTGAACCCAGGACAATAACAAATGCCACTAATCAGTCAACATGCTAATGGGTAGTTTGATGTGTGATACTGTTGTGAGTTCCCTGGGTGGCTGCTTTGACTTGGGGCTGCCTTCCCACTTGCTGGAAGTGGATGAAACATCTTGGTGGAAGGTGAAATCTCTCTCTGTGTGGCAGAGAGGCAATGAGAGGGTTGCAGGGACAGAGCCCATCAGTGCTCCCCCTTTGACCTGGGCATGTCTCTTCCATTTCAGGGAGCATCTGAACTAATCCATAAGTCTGGGGTGGCAATTCAAGCTGGAAATGCAGCAGGACCTCAGCTTGCACACTGGCCCCCAACAAGGAAAAAGCACACGGCCTGGTTCCAGAGGCTTTGAAAAGCCTTTGAAAAGGCTAACATGCCATCTTAGCTGGCTGTCTCTCCTGTCAGCTGAGCAGGCTTGAAACCTTCACCCGTTAGTACTGTGTGCAGTGGGATCCATGAAGTCTCATTTCTTGTGGATATATCACTTGAGTTTGGATTCTCTAGTGTCTAGTAAGCTGCTTGTGCTGAATGGAGCATCTCCCCTTACTGGGGTATTTATAGCATCACTCCTTCTCCCACACAGATTGTCTGATGTCTAATAAGGGATGATACACTACAGTTTGGAAGGTGCTAATAATGTCTCTTCTCTCTTTAACAGTCTGTTCCCATGAAATTTATAGACTCTGACTGTCTCTCAGACCTCTGTCTCTGTCAGATCAGGTTGAAATCTGTTTGCTGTGTCAGAAGTTGCAGGGAGTGGGCAGAGGACAGACTGATGCAGCAGGAGTGCATATGCTTTGCACTTCTTGGGAAATTAGGCTGAAAACGTGCCCAGCTCTGTTTCCTGCAGATCTGGAGGGGCAGCTGTGGTTCAGATCACTAAATTGTGAGTTTGGGAAAGCAAGCTGGTTGGGTGGGAGGAAGGCGCTGAGCTCAAAACGTACCCAGGAGAAGAGCTGCTCTGCCCCCAGCCGTCTTGCATGCTATGCTGAGGGCTCCTCAGGCACGCTTGAGCTGCCTGGGGCGATGAGTGCAAGTACAGAGCTTGGCCTCTTGCGAAAGACAGCCCCTGAGGACAATAAACGAGCAAGCCCAGGGCTCTTGGCTGGTGTGAAGAATTGCCAGGCTAAAGGATAATGAATGCCACAGCAGGAAATAGAGCATTTCTCTGAGGCCATTCATCCCCTTTATCACTCTGCTAACAAGCCCCAGAGTGACTTCAGAGAGACTTCTCTGGAGCAGCACCATCCCTCAGCCCTGCTTATGGCTGGGTGCTGGGGGTGAGGAATACATTGCATGGCAGGAGTGCTCAGTGGAAAACTGCCGACCAATCCCAAATAACAGCTCCAAGTCTGGGTGTCTGCAGTAGGGACTGTGCAGTGGCTCTGGCTTGGCGTGGAGACCATGCCCTTCTTCGGGCCATGTGCGGTGCCACCTGAGAGATCTGTATGAAAAAGCCAAGCATCGATCTTTCTTAAAGAACTCTGGGGCAGAAAGGGCCCTGCAGCACCTTAGGAGGATTGCTCTATCCTAACTCCCACCTTGTCTAAGATTTAAAATTCATAAGATTTATACAGGACCCAAGAGGAGTTTGGGACTGCTGGCACAGAGGTAAGTTGGTTCTGCTTCACTTGCTGCACAGCTGAGTCTTGCGCAAGGTGGAAAGGGTAGGAGTGATGTGCTTTTCGAAAGAGCTAATAAAAGCTAATTCATCCCTTTGCTCCAAGACAGTAGGAAGCATTAGTGGCTGGCTGAGTGCCTCCTCTGCTGTGGCAGTGTGCTGGGTGCCTCCACTTTCCCTCTGGCTGGGAGCGAAGCATGTCCTCTGGTGGAGGAGAAGGTGTCTGTCAGCAAGGGCTGTTCCCTCTGCAACTGCATCAACAGGCATCCCATAGCGCTGTCTGTAGCTGATATCGGAAGAAAAACAGCCAGATAACCCAGACGGGTGGGTCTGGGCATGAGGATGGACATCTCTCAGGCAATTTCATGTGCTGGGCTTCAGCTCTCAGCAAGTGCCTTTGTCTTTGCTTGGACCACAGCTCATGGGAGCAGAGAAAAGTACCATCCACAATTAGACTGGGCTATAGGAGGCCCCCAAAAGGGCTGCAGCCATTGGTGACCAAATGGGTTGGAATACTTTCAGCAAGCACCCTGAGTGTACTGTGTGTGCAGGTATGTTATGTGCTACCCTGTGTGCTCACCTACCGGAGTGATTTGTGTCTGGGGCATGGTGTGCAGTGGCTAAGCACTGAGTAGAGCTAATTGCCAGTAATTGGAAGTTTTTTTCTTTTTCTTCCTGATTTCTTAGTTTCTCCTTCTCCTCCAGATTTAGCTGTTGGAGGACACATTTTGTGTGGTCTGTGGTAAGCATCCCACATCCAGTGCCAGTGGCAGGCAGGGCTGGGAAAAGATACGAAAAGGGGGAGAAGGAGAAAGGAAAGCAAACAGGAGAGGTTGTATTGTGTTTCGGTGTCCTCAACAAACATTGGTGGTTTTGTAGGGGCAAGAAAGGAGTAGAAAAGCTGCAAAGATTTGCAGGTAGAAGGTCCTATGATGGGTAATTGGTTTGTTCCAGCAAGGGCAGACACAGCAGGAGAGCAACAGTTGGTGGGGATGATCTGGAGCTGTGGCTCTGGAGCAGAGGGGAAAGATTGGTGTGTCTTGGAGCCGGGCTTCTCCTTGAGTGTGAGCAACACACCAGCAAAAGGATTGTAATCTTGATTTTTTTCTCTCCATTTTTTATGGGTAGGTCTCTAAGCATTTTAAAAGAAAGCTAACACCGCAGATTGTAAAACTCACATCTTGAGGCTTCAAAGACTAGTTCAAAGCCAGCCAGAGGAGCCAAGGCCACTGCCTGTGAGTACCAAGCCCCTGCTACGTGCTCTCCTCCCTCACCCCAAATAGCCTGCACTCCAGACCTTGTCCTTTTTCCCAGCCACTGCACTGACCAGACTGATGATGGGGAGCTCATTGGAGGCCTGTCATGACCCAGAGAGTGGCTACAGGACATGTTGCCTCTTGTGGCCACATGTAATCAGCTGGACTGCTTCTTGGAGGGAGCCACACTGGCACATGAAATAGCCCTTTGAAGAGGGGTTGAATTTATAGGGGTGCACTGTGATCCCAGTCCGTGAGACCCCTGTTCCTGCCTTGCCCTCTCTCTGTGTTACAGGAAGAGATCACTTACAATCTATAAACATCTGGTGCTTTTTCTTCTTTTTCCAGCACCATTAAATGTCGAGTTGAAGTGAAACACAATACATCACCTTCCTCATGGGCTGCCATTCAGCCAACAGGAACCAAGATTAGCCTTCAATCACACAGGGGCTGGAGCTGTAGGAAACCTTCCTGAGGACACACTAGCGAAACATTTTCATTAGAGGAGGAGAACCTGATGGAGATGAAGTGCCCCTTCACCTCGACTGCCAGACCTCTCCCCTGCCTGGCATTAACAGGATTAGGAGATGCTGAGGAGCTGGTGCCAGCTGCAACACTTTAAGTGCTGTCTCATCCAGATGTGAGAAACTGCTGTGACACACTGAAGCAGCGCTTTTGTAGCATGGTGGGGGTGGCTTTGGTTTTTCTCTTGCCTATGGATGAGCACTCATTGCTAGAAGCGAACTGGTTCTCTCCATGCTATTAGCGGAATGGAGGAAGAGGGTGCTAGGTTGCAAGCCACGTACCTGAATGGGTATCCTAGCATGGGCCAGAAAAAGGTGTCCTTGGATGATAAGGTCCATAGGTCCAGAAGGTATCATGGGCTCTGCCTCCTGCAACAAGTTTTGCAAATATAACAGGACTGCCTTAGCAGTAGTGGAGTTTTTCTCTGCTCCATGGAAAGCTGTTCCACAGCCCACTTTTGCAGGCATCTGCTCTTAGCCTGCGTCCCCTCAGGACAGTTAAGATAACCAGGATTCACTTCTGCTATTGATGTCTCTTTTGTATTGGAGAAACATACCCTGCACCCTAGCTGGGAGCCTGGGACAGACCTGTCTCTCCTGGTTACCAGGATTAGCCAGCAGGGTCCCTGCAGTTGGTATCTGCCATCCTCCACCTCACCTCCCTGGGGCTGGTGTGCTCCTGACAAAGACAGGATCTGTCTCTTTCACTCACAGCTGAAGGATGCTTTGCCTGGTCCTGTCTTGCAGGTTGGAAGGAAATAATTCTAATTTATGTGGCATATTCCTTTGGGGGGATGAGGGGAAGAAAAGAGAAAAAAACCCAGACACAACAGAAACTCTGGCTATTCTGGGTATTTTTAGCTCTTTGCAAAGAGCTGTTAACATTAACCTCTCTCTTCCTCTCTTCTCCCCCTGTGCCCCCCATTTCTGTATTTGGGGCTGCCTGCAATACTGCATTAACATCATATCTCTGTGAAGACAAGCCAGTGCTCAGCACTCCCCAAGACTATGACCCACAGGGAGCTTCATCCTCTCTCCTTGCTCTCTGGGTACCCTCCACATGCACAGCCCTCAGAAGAGGCTGGGAGGGTGACAGGCACAGAGATGTTGATGTCTTCTGAGATGAGTTTTATGTGACTTGAGCTTCCTGAGAATGAGGTGATACAGCCTAGCAGCTACAGCATTGGTTTGGGACACAAAATCAGGTGGCTTCTGGTTTGGGAGCATTCTCATGTTAGGGTAGTTCTCGCTTCCCCCTCCTCCCTTTCAGAACTGAGAGCAGCCAAAATTAGAGGAAAACCTGGCTCCGAGCATTTTCTGCCCCCCAGTCCCTTCACCTGGATTTTTTAGTTTTTCCCTTACAGTCTCAGCTGGCTGAGTTTCAATGCCAGCCTATTGAAAGGAAAGGCACGTGCTGGCTTACGGAGGGAGAGAGACCTGAGACAGGATAAATCTGGAGGCAATGAGGTTGGGGGGAGGCAAGTTGCCTGCTCTGACACTTTTATTATGGAGCCTGGCTGCTTGGGAATGAATCTTTTTTGAAGCATATGTTGCTGGATGACATTTTTACCAGGTCTCAGCAGTAACCTTCGCCACACCTCGCTGCCCAGCCCTGTCCTTGCCTGTTCCTGGGACAAGGGGAGGGAATGTCAGCTGGAAATGCCACAGGCAGTAGGGCTCAATGGTGCTTAATGCACCTCCGATGAGTCTGAAAGCACCTGGACTTTGGCACTAGAAACTCTTCAGGCTTTGGTGACTTCAGCTTATGGATGCATGTGTTGTTTTGCAAAGGAGGTTTTGGCTTCTACATACGTTTCTTTATTTCAGAAATGAAAGAGGATACAACAGAGACCAAAATGAAATCCTCCACAGAGTTGCCCAGAAGGAGGGATAATTTCAAGGAAAGATTATTCCTTGGCTCTAGAAAAGGAAGATCTACTTGTTCAGTAACCTGGTGATGAGCTACTGGTTCTTGCTTTGTGCAGAGGCCTTGTGCAGGGGTGTGCAGAGACTGCTGCCCTCTCTACTCTTCCCCTGTATCACTGTCAACTTAGATTTCACATTGAGAGGGTGATGTTGTGGCTGGCAGTGACAATAGCAGGATGTCACTGGTCGAGGTGAAATCTTTCCCTTCGTGAGGTTACTTCTTCCTTTCCGTCCCCTTGGCTTACATCAGGAACCGCTGGCTTTTAGTAACAAGCAGGGCACGCATACGAGCTGCTCAAAGGGTGATGTATACTGTGCTGATCACCACTTTTCTTGCTGTGTTGGTAAGCAGCACTGTGTCACTGATGTCTCTTTGCTGTGCGGTGGCCTGGGACAGAGGGAAAGCCCTTGTCACTGTCTGAGATAAATCAGGGCCATTGGGAGTTGCCGTGTTTGCTGTCATGGGAGCATTGCACAGCATGGTCCTTTGCCATGCTGGCAGTCTTGTATCAACAGGAAGTCTGCTAGGGATGTCTCTTCAGAGTCCTGGAGGCCATCTGTGCTCTTTGGGGGCCAGGCCTGAACTAAATCATGGTCTGAGGGGCAAACATGTTAATGTTCTCTGCAGGCTGTCTCTCACCTCCTCTGAAATGGGAGCTAATCTTGTAGAAGAGTGCTTGTGCCCAGAAGAGTTCCAGCAGCCTCTCTGCCAGCTTTCTGTCCTCAGGGACCAGTTCAGCAAAGCTATAGTGCTGTTCTGGGTGCAGCTTTCATTTTCCACCTGATTACAGAGGAGAGAATGACCCTGCTGCTGCCAGGCCATGGTAGAAAATAGAGGTAGGGGGTGGGCTTCTTTATTGCATCCAAGATTCTGGTTCTCTATTAGCCCTGATTCTGTCTTGCATCTTTTCCAGCTGGAGCCTGTCTTTATTTTGTTTTGTTTTGTTTTTTTCTTTTTCCCTTTTTTCTTCACCTTATTAAAAATGGCTTTGCCATCTGCATCTGTCAGGAGTCTGCTGAATTGGGTCTACGGCTCAGTGAAGATACAAATGTGCGGGCTATCCATCATCAGATAAATCCTCTCCTTGCTCCCACATCTCAGCTGCTAATAGGAATGCTGGGAAAGGGGTAACTGTTTTACCCTGCTTTTTCCTACCATCCTCTTCCTTCTCCCTTTTTCATCCCATCTCTAGGCCTATTACAAGGCAATTGGAAGGCTGGAGTTCAAGGACACTTGCCTTCACTTGTTGGTCCAGGCACTTTTTGAGAGGTAAGGATGGAGTGGAAGAGATTGACTTTACCCAAGTGGCTTAAAAATGTAGCTTTGAATGGATGTTTTCAGCAGTGTTGTGTATGACTCCATGTAATATGCGCTGAAAGCACTCAAGTGCTCCTGCATGTCTTGTCCTCACTGTGTCCCCTTTCCCTGGTGCAGATGACCAGCACTATGGGGCTCTGCAAGGAGGAATGCACCATATATGAAATCCTCAGTTGCTACAACTCTGCAGGGTCACTCAGGTACCCAGAGGGAGATGACAGCCTTCATTGACATCCATGGATTTGCTCATCTCCTCCTGCCTCTCTGTTTTCTGCAGTCTGGTACACGAGCTGCTTCCCTGGCCTTGACGTACTAAGAAGCTTTCAGCCAGGTGGGCTCAGAGGAGCAGGCAGGCAGAAAATGAAATCAGTCTTTCCATGCTTTTGCCACAGCTATCTGGTCAAGGAGGGGAATTTTCTGGGAGGGCAGACCCCTGCTTTGGCAGGAGGAGAGAAGAAACAGCTTGAGCTTGCTGTTTCTATGACAAACAGATGGATGTTCAGTGGGGACCCAAGAAAACCCTCTTCCTTCAGGCTAGCTGCAAGCCCTCCAAGCCAAAGCTTTGTGCTGACTTGAAAAAAGTATCGCTTCGTTGATGCTCGGCCTGAATTACCTCTTCTAGGCACTTGATTCAGGACAACCTTCCCCTCTTGCCACCGACTCCTGGGAGGAGCCAGCTGTATGCCTGCAACCAGGCAAGAATGCAGCAGGAGTCATTGAGCAGTGAGGAGGGAGGAAGGCGGGTGATGGCAGATTCCTCTGGCATCTCCACACTGCAGGGCTCTTGGCGAGTGAGTGCTCGTCTGCTTTGAAAGCTTATTGCTCCTGCAGGTGGGAGCCAATTTGTCTGCTTTCCTGCCCAGGTGCCATCTGTTTGTAGGATTGCCTGTGTGGTGGATGAGCACGATGGGGATGGGGAATGGAAGGGGCGGCTGGGATAGGAGAGATGAGCCTAAAACTTTCCATGAGTAACTTCAGCACTTCTGGCTGCCATCACTCCTTCTCCCCTGCATCATGGCAGGGAAATCACAGCCTGTCATTTGCTGTTCCTGGAGTGTGATAGGAAGCTGAGGCACTACTAATAGCAAGCTATCATTTTAATGCTAATTTCCTACTATTAGTTCAGGTTGGGGGAGGCTCAGCCTGGGTGGAAGGAAGCCATTAGCAGATGGAGAAGGTGGAATGTGTGGGGATTGTTCTGCACCCTGAGAAGGGACTTCCACCACTAGAAAAACTGGTAGTGGGCTCTGGGGTCAGTCTCTGGTGGATGTGGGAGGGAGGAAGGGAGAGGGACGCTTTGTTTCAAGTCATCTTCCTGTGGGGATTTCTTGAGTGCTTCAGGCTTTGGCTTGGATCTGATGTTTGCTGCTTGTTGCCAGCCCTCAGTGCGTTGACCCAGGGGATTCTCAGAGTGCTGGCAGGACTGCAGCTGGTGGCATGGTTGTCCTTTTAACAGAGGACAAACCAGGGTTGTGTTTGTCTTTTTGTGAGGAGCTCCCCAGTTCAGGAATGTTCAGGACATTCCTGTTGGGTGATGAGCTTCAAAGCAGGGAAATTTTGAAGCCATTCTTGAGATACCCAAGAGAAAAAAAAGCAATTTGCCCTTGGGATATGTGAACAAGCTCAATTTCCCCAAGCTGGAGAGCTGTTAGGAAAAATCAGTGGTGGAGCTTGGAGTTGTGATGGAAACTGAACTATTTCTTTTCCCTTTCCAGAGATGTGAGTCCCCACATCTAACCTGTTTTGTCAGTCTCTTCTAGCCATGCCAGACAAGTGGAAGAGCCTGTGCTGCTCCCCACACTGGTGTAGTTGCCTGGGAGCTCTTGGAGAGTTTGAAGAGAGGTTACCAGGTGCAGTAGGAGTGTAGGGCTTCTCTGGCATTGTGTTGGCAGCAGTCAGAGAGGTTCCTCTATCATGCTTGGAAACACTGGCACATGAGCTTGTATGCTGTGCCTGGCTGAGAAAAAACTGATTGCCCACTACTGAGGGGTAGAATTGTTTTAAGACAAGGGCCCAGTAGTCTCCTTGCCTGTGGTTGCTTTTTTTGCTCTTGGGTATCTGAAGAATGGCTTCAGAATTTCCCTGCTTCGAAGCTCATCACCGAACAGGAATGCCCAGGCTCCTGAACTGGGGAGCTCCTCACAAAAAGACAAACACAGCCCTGCTTGGTCCTCTGTTAAAAGGATAACCATGCCACCAGCTGCAGTCCTCGCAGCACTCTGAAGCACATCTCCTGAAGACCCACCAGCCTGTGCTGATCTAGACCATTGGCTTCATCATTTCATATGGAAGCATACGTAGATTTTTTTAAAACCACTTAAAGACCGCTTTGAAGCTCTTTTGGCATCTAACAGAGAGGCAATGAAGGGATGAAAGCAGACACAAAAATGGGAAGGAAAACCAGGAGCTGTTTAAATGGCGAAAGGGATGGAAAGCCAAGAGGGGACCATTCTACCAAAGGCTACATCAGCAGAGTAGCATTGCTCAATGTGGTTACCAACAATCAGATCTGCCCCAGGGTGAAGCATGACTTGCTGCATTTTAGGGAGTTGTTTCCACCTGAAAAAAAAAAAGGCTCCCGTCTTTTTCTTTTGTAGAGCCTCTTCCCTGCCTTGGGCTAGGAAAGAAAGTAAAACATGAAGGGTTACTTTTTCCTAGCCAAGAAGAATGAAACAAACTTCCCCTCGGGTAGCTGACTGAGGAAATCGGCACCTTACGTATTCCCAAGAATAATACAGTCAAGTAGTTGGGGGAGAAAGAAAAAGCCCATAACGCAGTGTTACTTTTCCCAGTTCAGCACTCTGAATAATGAGCCTACAAGCTGGAGGGAGAGGTGCCAGGAGAGGCACCTGTGTACAGGAGATGGACACAACAAGTGTCTCACATGGGCCAATATCTGAAGCGATTGCTCTCTAATTTTCTACATCAGTGAGAACGCAGCGCAGTGCCATCAATCACAGTCAGCCTCCCCTCGGAAAGCCACCTCCTGCCTCACTGTACTCTGGCATCCCCACTCTGCTTCTGCCCCTGGCTGGGGAACCGCAGGTGTACCAGCCAGCAGGCACGTTCTGTCCTTGGGGGTTTCTTCCTTGTGTTTGAGCCTGCTTGTGTTTCTGCCCTTCTTCTTTCTCCACCCCCAGCACCTGTTCCTTGCCAGTGCTTTATTTCCAGGCTGCGTTTCTCCTTCCTGAAGTCAGAAGAGGCCAAATACTCCTTATATCCCCAATGAGGAGTAGGCGTGGAGCTGCTTTTCCTGGGATAAAACCCCTGCATTTTGCATGGGAGAGGGAAGGGGGTGAGTTTTGTGCCTGTACTGCTCATCTCAGGGTAAAGGGTTGGATTTTATGGGTCTTCTAAGGCTGCTCTTGCAGTAGTGGCCATGAGAGCATGTTCAGAGGACTGCTGTTGCCTGCTTGGCTCCTTCATCCCAGCCCTAGCTCTGGGCGTGGAGTAGCTAAGAGAGCCACCTTTCATGCTGGGCTGGTAGTGTGATGCAGCAGCTCTTGGTCTCTCGGTTTCTCCTTCTGTGAAGTACTCTGCTCCTTCCAGGCATGGCTGTGTTTCCACCAGACCCAGGGACACCTCTTTGGCAGGAGCAGTGGTGATGGGTGTCCTGAGCACACCCAGGGCAGACACACTCCTGAGATGGCCAGAAGGCTAGCGGGAGATGGATCTGTGCTCATGATTGTTTCTTCTACTGGAGCATAGACACAGCTGGTGGGTTTGATAGCTTTTGCTTCTTCTTCTCTCTCATGTGCTAGGTTTTGTTCAATTGTGGTGGCTCTTGGTAGGTCCAGGACAAAAAGTGGTATGCAGTCCCATTTCTGGCTTCATCAGCTCCAGCACCAGCTAGAACCAAGGACCATGATTCTTTCTTGAGCACATTCCTAGACAGAAGCATCTTCTGAATAAATCTGTGCGGTTGCCACCTGCGTCTCAGTCTCTTACACTGGTTTCTGAGAGCTGCCAAGGATCCTTGACCTCTCTTTCAGGCATGGTTTCCTCCATGTATCAACCCTGGTTCGGTGTTGTGGTGCTATTGCTGGCTTCTGTAATAGCTGCCTTGTTTACTTCCCAAATGCCTGCCCTTTCTGTAATGAGCTATAATTCATCCTGCTTTATACAGTGCTCAGAGATACCTGGGGCAAGGAAGGTGTGCTATTAAACCAGCTTCTAGGCTGCTCTCTGCACTGGGGTTGCTGATCAACTGGAGGTGTAAAACATGGAGGACAGGGGGGACCAGAGTGAAATGGGGAACAATTACCTAGCAGGGTAAAAAGGGCTGACTGGGTTGGAAGCTGCTGGGAGCTGACACATGGGTATAGATGAATGGCTATGGCAGGCAGGCAGGGCGGAGGGGTGAAAGATGGTTTTTTAAAGCATCTGCTTTCTTCTCTTCCTCTGCTTTATAACCTGTTTTTATAGAGGCTGCATGAGGAACACATTTTTTTATTAGCAGCTTGGGAGTGGAGAGTAATAAAGATTAATTTTTTTTTAAGTAATTCCTTGCATTATCTTTTAATTTCCTGTGTCAGGGTTTGATTTTTAAATCTGCAAATGGAGTTAACCACAAACATGCTTATCAGTCTGGAAGCGGCAGCCAAAGGAGCTGGGAGACCTGGTAAAGCTGGGAGAGGCCCCAGCCCCAAAGCTGAGCCTGAAATCCCAGCCTCTGGGTGACTGCCGCCTGCTCCACTTACGGATCTGATAAACAAAGGCTCTCCCTGCCCCCTGCATCTACATTCTCCATCCCTGCCTCCGTGAATACAGAAGACCTGATACTTTGCTGGGCTTTAACCTGCTTGGGAGACTGGTTTCTGATGGAGCTGTACTACATTCACTGCCTCAGATGAGCTCTCATGTACCCATAGCCATGGTTGCTCTGAAGCTGGGCAAAAGTGATGCCCTGCATCCAGAGACCCCAGCCCCAGCTTACTTTGACCACTGATCACCTTTTCATAGCTTGTTCTTCAAAATATGGCCATGCTGGCTGCTTGAGCTTGCTCTGAACTTGTGATCTCTCTGTAGAGAAAGTGGTGGAGGCAGAGAGCAGACATTATGGAGAACCAGCCAGTGCAGACAAGAACATTTTGGTTCACGTGGGTATGAAAGCAGCTGTAGCTCAAGTGCCTGGTGAGGGCTTTAGATGGGCAGAGGGGAAGCTGAATGAAGGGGGGAGCACAGTGGGAGTGTTGATCGTGTCCTGAAAAGGCATTTTAGTGCATTACATCACCACTGTGTTGGAACCAGGACCAGAATGAGGGATTTTGGAGATATCTGGGGATGGGGAAGAGCCAAATCATGCATGGGGAGCACACTGACCCAGACTGCTCCTGGCTCCCTCTGACAGATGCCATCTGGAGCAGGCTTTGTGCGTACCTGGGTGTCTGTGTGCTTTGGCAGCCCTCTTGATGGCCAGCTCTGCTGACCCAGTGTGGGAGGACTGTGCTCTCACTCCTGATTGCTTCCCTGCATGGCTGGAAGATCAGTTCTGCATCACAGCAGAGGGGCTCTGTGCTCAATCCTGCCTCACTGCTGCTCCCACATGGCCCCCTACTCCTGGGAAGAAGAGAAGCACACTTCAGCCCATCCCCAGGTGTGAAGTTTGGTTTCCCCATGCCAGGTCATTTCTGTGTGTTGACATTTTGCTGGGCAGAGCTGTCCCTGATGAGGTCTGGGTCTGCAGGCACAGTGCAGGGGGATGTGGGTTGGCCTGATTTGGGAGTCTGTGTGACTGCCTGGCACCAGGCATCGTGCTTACAGCTATGAATATGGTTTGGTTCTGGTTTTGTACTTTGACGGCAGGCTTATGTCTTGGCCTGCTGGCCAGGCTTCATCTCACTGCATCCTCTGGTGTCCAAGGGAGTGATGAAAAGCTTTGGTGGCTCCTGCATGTTTTGGGTGGGAAATGCATTCCTCAGCCCTTTGTTTGGATTATTCATTTATTCAAGTGTTGGCTGAAAAAAGGACCCTGCTCTCTGCCAGCAGCAGAAGAAAGAAGTACTTTATGGGTGCTCCTGATCTCAAGAGGGAAACTGAGGCACAAAGAGGTGGCTTGATGCCTGTACCACTAGCACCTCGGTCACACAGAATCAATCAGAGGATTGTTTGGTTTGGAAAGGACCGTAAGATCATCAAGTTTCAGCCCTCTGTGTGTGGCTGCCAATCCAGGTGTCCCAATATACTGCAGCTAGCCACTTCTTTGAGTTGTGTTTTTTAGCCAAAAGAAGCATCATTTGCTAAAGTTACCAGGTGCCATGAGAGCTGGGGGACAGCTCCCACTTGTCAATATCTGCCCAAAAGCAGAAGCCTCTCCTGTTGTGACGGGTTCTTCTTTTTTTCCTTCTGAAGTTACAGAGAGAAAAATGGAAATAAAAAGCAGCAGGGAGAGAGCTGTTAGAAAGCTTAAAGCTGTCACAAGGCATTGGTTAGTTTATGTGCAGTGAAGTATACAAACAAGTTTTCAGCGTCTTGGTTGGAGCCAGGGAGCATGGTTTTTTGTGTGATAAATATGTTTTATAGGTCTTTTATGGGATTTTTTAAAATGGCTGTCCCAATAAATTATTTACCAGGGTAATAAAAGATCAAGGAAATTGTTCCAACTGTGCTGCTGAGCATCTAAATCCCAAACATTTACTGGGGTGGAAGGACCCTCTGAATTCCTTTGGCCTTATAAAAGATGATCCAGGTGTGCTGTTTGTCTGCGGTGTTCTTTTGGAGGCCAGGTCCCAAGCCAGCCCCAGTCTGTCTCCAGGAGGTCTCAGAGGCTTGACATTGGTTTTCAGCCCCTCAGCATCTACTCCTGCATTTCCCTCACCGCTGGCTCTCACAGCTGCAAATTTCTTGATAGTCTCTGACTCTTTATTTAAGTTTCCGAAAGTTCTCAGAGGCATAATGGTGCTACCTGGTGTGAAATAGTCATGCTTGTTTCTGTAGCTCTGAAAGAGAACATCATAATCTAGTTGAGCTACAAGTGGGAAACTATGGATGCCAGAGAGGGACTGGGACTATAGCAATAGGACAAGGGGTAACGAGTTAAAACTTAAACAGGGGAAGTTTAGATTGGATATAAGGAGGAAGTTCTTTCCTGTTAGGGTGGTGAGGCACTGGAATGGGTTGCCCAAGGAAGCTGTGAATGCTCCATCCCTGGCGGTGTTCAAGGCCAGGTTGGACAGAGCCTTGGGTGACATGGTTTAGTGTGAGGTGTCCCTGCCCATGGCAGGGGGGTTGGAACTTGATGATCTTAAGGTGCTTTCCAACCCAAACCATTCTATGATTCTATGAAATGGAAGGCAGAAATCACTTAGAAAGTGGCGAGGAGTTTGAAGAAAGGCATAAGCTCCTGCAGCACAGGCCAGAAAGGCTGCCATGTAGTCCTGCAGACAACAAGGGCCCCCTACTACCTTAGATGTCTGGGTTGGTACGTTTCTCCTTGCTTGGTATCGACTGCTACACAAGGGGTGGGCCAGGTTCTGTTTGTTGCTGGCCTGGTCTCCGTGGCACACAAACCTAGAATAGCCTCTGTGGAGGTGAAATAATAATTCTTGGCATTCCAGCCACAGAGACTATATTCCATACATATATATTGACATACATATTCCAATGCCCCATCTTCTGGGACATTGGGCCAGGCTTTAGGAAGTTCAGGCACTCTCTGTCCTTACTGCTCCCAAGGGAATGGAGGAAGGAAAGGGCTGGGGGTCTTACCATGGGTCCCCACCTCAGGACAGGGCAAATACTTTGGCTGCATCCCAGACTTCTGGAATAGGAAGTGGGATTAGATTTAACCCTCGTAGGGTTTAAAACGGTCTACTTGTTAATACCAGCGGCTTTTGCAAGGACTCTGGTAGAGAAAGATGCATCCCTCTGTGGTAAGCTGGTCATAAATAAATTTAGATGGGATTTTAGAAGCAATTTTCGAGGCTTGAAAGAGATCATTCTGGAGTGGCCTTCAAAAAGGGATGGTGGGTGGGAAGGGACAGCCGCTGTTTCAAGATAGATCTCAATATTCATGGGAAGGATTATTCATTCAGAGTCTTTCCAGAGGAGGGAGTCCTTGGGTATCTGATGTTTTGAAGTGAGACTGGATTGATCTTTGTTTGCGCTCTCTTTAGCTTGCATTAATCCCATGCCTCAGGGCTTCTGCTTTCCTCCTCAGGGTCCAGCAGGGAATCCTCATCTCCACTGATGACTAATTTGGCTCTTGGGTTTGGTGGTGGTCCTGTCTGTCTGAGGTGGTGGAGAATGGCCACAGCTGGGAGTACATCTGAGTGCAACATGTCAGCCAACAGGGAGCACAGGGTTTTATTTGGCTTCCTTCTTGTGCCTGGAGGCTTCCTCAGTTCTTACCATTTCCTGAAGTAATTCCTCTGCTGTTACAAGGCCCTGGGAAATTCGCAGAGCTGCTAATCTTCCTTATTTACTTCCCATGCCATGTTAATGTAGTGGCTTTTGGACTTGCTGGTCCTGCAGCCAGGGGTATAGCCATGTCTCCAGACCCTTTGGTCTAACAGAAGCACTGGAATGGAGATCCTGGGCAGCTCCTGGAAGTACTAAGCTGCCCTTCTGTCTTAAGCCTGTGGAGAGGGCAGGCAGTAAAAAGAGGACTTGCTTCTCTATTCTGGAAGCTGGGCCAGCAAGAACAGTCCCGTAGCACCCATTCTCTTGGCTGCCAAAGGACTGGGGTATGTTCACTGCGCCCTAGAGGATATCAGTGCTGGAGCTTACTGCTGTGCATCCTGCGTGAGCAGGCTAAGCTGGGCCATGAATCATTAAGGCTCTGGCCTGGGAAGGGTGTAAACTGGAGCTGTGTGTTTTAGTGGGTGATGTTTGCTGGGGTCAAGGCTGCGTGGTTTGTCTTTTAGGCTGGCAGCTGGGCACTCAGTTACAGAGCAGGCTTTCTATTGCAGGGAGCGGAGGATGGTGCGG